AGAGGAGAGTGCAAAAAACGGTCTGAAACTCAACATAAAAAAAACTAAGATCATGGCCACTGGTCCCATCACCTCCTGGGAAATAGAAGGGGAAGATATGGAGGCAGTGACAGAGTTTCCTTTCTTGGGCTCCATGATCATTGCAGATGGAGCCAGCAGCCATGAAATTAAAAGATGCCTGCCTTTTGGAGGAAAGTGATGACAAACCTTGACAGCATCTTAAAAAGCAGAGACATCACCTTGCCAACAAAAGTCCACATAGTCAAAGCTATGGTTTTTCCTGTAGTGATGTACGGAAGTGAGAGCTGGACCATAAAGAAAGCTGACCGCCGAAGAATTGATGCTTTTGAATTGTGGTGCTGGAGGAGAATCTTGAGGGTTCCCTGGACTGCAAGGAGAACAAACTTATCCATTCTAAAGGAAATCAACCATCAGTGCTCACTAGAAGGACAGATCCTGAAGTTGAGGCTCCAATACTTTGGCCATCTCATGAGAAAAGAAGACTCCCTGGAAAAGACGCTGATGTTGGGAAAGTGTGAAGGCAAGAGGAGAAGGGGACAACAAAGGATGAGATGGTTGGACAGTGTGATCGAAGCTACCAGCATGAATTTGAGCAGACTCCTGGAGGCAGTGGAAGACAGGAGGGTCTGGCGTGCTCTGGTCCATGGGGTCACAAAGAGTCGGACACGACTTAACACCTAAACAACAAAATTAGTCCGTGATGCATACGATTTCCCTTTTTGCACTTAAAGCAGCTACTCTTAGTAAAAAGAAAAAGAAAAACAATATTTGAAGGAGCCATGTAACAAGTTTTTATCCATATTGTGTTTTTACTAGAATTACAGAAATTTATTTTACTACAGTTAATTGAGTAAAATGTATATGCAATATTTAATATTTCATAATCTAATGCTTTGTTTTAAATAATTGTTTCCAGTTTTTAAGAACTGACCATTTATTGCTGCTTTTATTATTAATATGCGTTTACTATAGTTGAAGCAGTCTGAGAACTTATTCAATAAAGTATCTAACCAGTCAAGCTTAAAGAAGCATTTGGTGATGTGGAGAATTCCCATAGTATAAATGAAAGAGAATTATCAACTTTCTGCACTCCAGATAAGCCGCTGAAACGAATACCAAACAAGTGTCTAGATTAGATTGAGAACATGCTCGAAATATGATTAAGTTGTTCAAAGCTATCCACTGGGGTGAAAGATACTGGAAAATATTTTAGTCCAGTTTCCCAACATGATGCCCTCATGTTGGAGCTTTAGTCCAAGAACATCTGGGAACCCAAGGCTGGGACCTATTGCTCTCTGCAAACATAGCATGCTAGAGGTTGGAGAAGGTTGCTTCAGTCAATTGTCTTGTTTCCACATTAATCTGAATTTTTACAACATATTCTTCCTTTCTAAATGTGCTTCCACCCATTTGTTACAACATTTGGAAGATGTCAAAGTAGACAGGTAAGTGAGTTCTGATCTGCACATTCGTATGAGGGGAGCTGGTGGGATCTGTTTGTTTTGGAATTTACCCTCCACCCCACCCCTCTGATTTTAATGTCTATTGCTGTCTGGTGTGTTACATGGAAACAGCAATACTGGAAACAGTCACATAGTTTAATTCCTCTGAAAAACAGATCAGCAATACATCCTCATGATGGGGGGAGGGAGGGAAATACTTGTATTACACCTCTCAGAATATCCCATGGTGACTGGGGTAGTGTGGAAGGTGTACTCTAAAATACATTTTCTTATCTGTCCTAATTGTACAACAACACACAACTGTTTGCATGACTAATAAATAATAACTACTGCAACACACAACTGTTTGCATGACTAATAAACAACTACTATATGTGCTGTCAAGTCAATTTTTGGCAAGCCTTTTCAGAGTTTTCTAGGTAGAGAATACTCAGATGTGATTTTCCACTCCCTTCTTCCAGGGTGCCCTGGGACTGTGCAGCTTTCCCAAGGCCACATGGGCTGGCTCTACTCACAGGTGGCACTGGGAATTAGCTCTGCAGCCTGATACTTAAACCTCTGAGCTATTCAGACAGCCTCTTGCATGACTACTCACTAGAATACATCCAACTCTGCTATAAAAAGATTGCTTAAGATTTTGGGCACACTGTGTTCCCATAAAGTCCATGGAATCTATAGTACAATCCAAAAAAACATGCAGCAGAACAAAACAGAAATCCATCCAGCCATTAAAATGCCCAGAGTAGTTGCATCAGCCCTATAGGTGCCAAAAGAGAGAGAGTCCATTTTGGGGCTATATTTACATTTGTAAAAATAGAGAAAGATTCATCATTTGCAAATAAGCTTAAACAAGCATCTTCTGGCTAACATTTGCTACTTACAGCATTAAGTCTCGTATGTCAGGCTTGTTTCTGGATTGTTTCTGGCTTTACAAGGTTTATGAAGGAGGAGCAGGAAATAATCTACTTTAAAATTATTCCTTCTAGTCTCCCAGTTTTCAGTAAAAACAACTTCATTGCATCTGGAAGTTGAGTCATGGCAACTGGACTTCTTTCTTTTTAGGCTGAAATTTTTCGCTACTTCTCCGAGTAGGT